GTGTGTGTGTGTGTGTGTGTGTGTGTGTGTGTGTGTGTGTGTGTGTGTGTGGTATGTGTGTTTGTATGCGTTGATGTTTATTCAATAAAAACTGACAAATTTGGAGATTGATGTCTTATCATATATATAAGGAATTTCGGAATTACGTTATCGCTGATGATAAGAATATAGAGCGTAACAACTGGTTCAGAATTACTTGTTAGTAAAACAACTTAAGTCCAAAGACCTCGGTCACATTATATGCAAAGTTACGAACAAAGACGTGGACACTAGTGAAACAACTTTAAACACGCACGGGACATGTCTCTGCGCAAAAAAAGAAAAAAAAAAGCACTGTACATATAATAAACTCCCATCAACCAAAAGGATGCAAGCTCCGTGTAATGCAAACCCATTCGTTATCTTGAGATAGTGCACTGGTACGAAGGCCATCTTCATTACAACTAAGACTGTCGCATTGTGTGCATGTTTTGTAAGCTAATCTAGTGTCTCGTGTTTTCACTGGAGCAGACGTTTTGACTCTAGATTTGGTCAAGGAAAGAATAAAAGGATACGAAAGGAGTAAGTACATCTGGTTCCTCACATTTGCTTGGTGGAAAACACGAGGCGCAGATAAGTATTCCAGCGTTTATAAACCCAAATAATTTGCCTTATTTTCCAGTAAGCTGAGTTCGCGAGAATATCACACTTTGAATAAAACATCAGTTCAGGGAAATCTTATCATAAGCAACAAGGCATTGACTATTCTTAATTTTCTCTTTTTGAAACAAAGGAATTGTTTTAACGACAAACCGTTAGCTCAGTTGGTATCATGCTGAAAAACGGAGCGGATCGACCCAGTTCGAATCTCCAACAGGGCTGTTGAACTTGGGTTGTTTTGGAGATTTTAAATGTTTCTCTAATCATTTGGCCTGGCCCTATCGGAGACGGCTGTTAAACTCGGAGGTCCAGCCTCTTAAATAACCTCACAGTGTTTAAAGGTGCATTAAATCCATACAATAACATCGTCAATGAATTGTTCTAAATTTTGACTTTTTAAAAATGTTTATGTTTTACATCAGCACAATTAGTACCCTTTAGGAGGTGGACTGCTTGATGGTACCACGCGTGTGCGTGAGGTAAAACATCATATATATAGCTCATATATATAACAACTATAGCTCAGAAGCCAGTGAATGGTTCTTGAAAGTTTCACAGAAGAAAAATGGGTCAGACATTTGTATAAAGTGATACTTAAAGAAAGGGCGCATGACTAGATCTGCAGCCTGGAGCAATGAAGCCATGGTTCGAGCTCGTCAGGGCCTTCCAGAAGTTGAGTTACTTGAGGAAAATCCATTGTCAGCCATCCATCTCGTTTTGCCCCATCCATGATCCTGATTTTATTCTAATGCGTCGGTTCTGTCTAACTGTTGAATTATAATCACAATGTTTTTATCTCTCCATATTATACGGCTATTATTGATGTCTTACATAATGAAATAGTTACTAAAAAATCTCCTACTAATTAAATCTTGTCTTCCTATTTTTTAGAGTTTTTTCGTATACAATAATTATGTGTATTTTTGTTCGTTAAAAAAAAAAGACTTTATCGAAAAACAATATCCTGATTTGTTGTTACATTTTGTTATATCTGTGAAATCGTGCTTGTTGAGTTTTATAATATGTCTAAGTTTTGATTCTTTACTATCTGCTCGGGTAAATGAATAGCTTTTATTAAACTTTTCAAATATGCTTGCACTGTTATCTACCTAGCAACACCAATATTTCTAGTCCAACTGGGTTCAAACGCAGTTGTTTATGTGTGAACAAATCAAATTGCCAACTCGGCGATTTCTCCCTCAAACATTTTTTAGAATCAATTTCCAATAAACGCTTTACCACCTGTGCACACACTGTCTAATCGGAAACACACAGCCTGAACCAGTCTGACAACCACCTTTTCAGGACAAAAGAAAAACAAACATTTCAGATTTGTTATCCCATCTTCTCTAAACTTCCAAGTTCCCTGGAGAGAGAGAGAGAGAGAGAGAGAGAGATAGAG